CGGGCGGCGCGCACGGCGGAGACGGCGCAGCGCATCAAGCGGAGCCGGCGGCTCAAAGCCAACAACCGCGAACGCAACCGGATGCACAACCTGAACGCGGCGCTGGACGCCCTCCGCGACGTGCTGCCCACCTTCCCCGAGGACGCCAAGCTCACCAAGATCGAGACGCTCCGCTTCGCCCACAACTACATCTGGGCGCTCACCGAGACCCTGCGGCTGGCCGGGGCGGCGCGGCTCGGGCCTGACGGGGCGGCGGCAGCGGCGGTCCCCGCCGAGGGCAGCCCCTCGCCCGCCTCCTCCTGGAGCGGCGGCGCCGCCAGCCCCGCGCCCTCCGCCTCCCCGTACGCCTGCACTTTATCGCCCGCCAGCCCAGCCGGCTCCGCCTCGGACCCCGAGCACTGGCCCGGCCGCTTCGCCCCGGGGCCGCCGCCGCCGCTGCCCCGCCGCTGCCTCTAGCCCGGCCCGGCGGTCCCGGGGCTCCCCCCGGGGCGGCGGCGGCGGCATCTGCCCGCTTCCCAGGGCAGGGCGGGCTGTGGGAACGGCACCTGCCAAACCAAACTTTCCGTCTCTCTCTCTCTCTCTGTCTCTCTCTCCGATGTGCACTTTGTCCAGTTTTCCCAGATCTGTCACCGCGGGGCTTTTGTGTGTGTGTCCCCCCCTTTCCCCGCTCCCCTCTTTGCCATCTGTCCCTTATGATTTATAGGCGGGAGGGGGGTGCAAAGCGAGGGAAAAAAAAAAAAAAAGTAAATTGTTTTGTTAGGGGTCCAGGTTAGAAGTCATTGTATAATTTGTAGGCTTTGTGAGGGCTGAATGCAAGCGTGGAAATTTAGGCTGAACTCTCTATCAAAAGGGAAAAAAAATCGGGAGGGGGGGAATGGGGAAGGATCTCCTCATACATTATTTATTTCGACCTTTAGGGGACAAGGAACTCCCCCCTTCTTTCAGGAGATTAAAAATAAATCAACAGACTGAAAACCTCAACAGACACGGAACATTACAGCGATCAGCCACACACGTGTTCACATTTATTTATTATAAAGACAGATTTCATGGAAAATATGTATTTTTTTGTATAATTTACAGAGTTTATTCTAGTATGTATTTACGGCTGAAGAGCAAAGGGATTGTCCTTGTGATAAAATATAAATAAAAAGCTCTAATTTTCGTAACTTTGGGGTTGCCGCTTTTTCTGCTTTATGTGCCAGCAACTGGGAATTACGGGATTGGGCCTGTCCTTGGTAACTGGTGAAACCAAGACCTAGCAGGAGCTGATGTCACTGAGTCCACGGGCAAGTTTATTTGGGAAACAGCATTAAACCATGTGCGTGACAGAGAGAGAGAGAGAGAGAGAGGGAAATTCAGTGGAAGTTTACTGATTATTTACCTTTGGCTCTCACTGCAGAAGATGCTGATGGCAAATGCAGGATAGATGGATGGATAGAGTTACCACACTTCAGGCTGATGGAATTCGCCTGAGAAGGCTGTAGGAAATAAATGCCATTGAGAAAAAAAATGCATGGGTTAAAAGAGGAAAAATTTCCTCTCTGTCAGGGTCAGATGAATTTCAAGTCAACASGCAATTCCAGGGGGTTCAGTTCAGTGTGCACAGCACACAGACAGGGATGTCACCATGGAGGGGGATGCTGRAGGCCTCCAGGCCCTTCAGTCATCGTCCCCGTGCTCCCGGGAGCACTTTGTGACTTCTGGGTACAAACACCTGGAAATCATTAAAAACCAGCAGAGGCGCCTGAATGTATTAATTAAATAAAATGCTCAGCACGTGAATCCCGCCCGGTGCCCTCYGGATCCTGGGAGCGTGAAACCCGGGCCTCGGAGCGACATCCGAGAAATGAACGGGGGGAAAAAAAGAGAAAAAAAAGCCCAAAATGTGTGAAAAGAGAATTAGTGAAATTAGGTTAGGCCAATAAACCGCGCGGGGGTCCCCCCGGCCCCGCAGCCTCGGGCGAGCAGCGCTATCTAGCCTGATCTATTGTTTCCCCCGCTGGCAGGGGGGTTATTGTGTGATAAATAATTCCCTAAAAAAAAAAAAAAAAAAAAAAAGTGGGAGCATTTGCATAATCACTGCTTTGATGTGGCCAGCAAGATGAAGCTGTGTCCCCCCAAATCTGCCACGGGCCAGGAGGAACAAAACAAGAGGGAGCCTTTCACGGCACTGGCGGTGTGTGGGGCAGCCCATCGGGAGCGGGTTTTTCACTCTCACTCGCTTTTAACGACCCCTTTTAATGATTAAACTCCAGGAATGCCAGAAAGAAGCCGAGCGCCCTCTCTGTCTTTTCTGGTCTGGCCTCATTGTCCTTCCTGGTTTCTCTCTCTCTTTTAAGAGGCACTGGAGTAGGTGCCCTCGGCTCTTCAAAAGGCCGGGATCGRTGGGATGCACTTCTCTCTCAGTGCYGGAGCCACGCAGGAACAGGAGGRACATCCCGGGTGGCTCAGGCMCAGGGTATCCCCTCCACTTGTCCTCAGGGAGCAGAGTGACACCGCTCGGGGCCAGGTGCGTCACCCTGGAGGGATTTCCTTCCATCCCAGGTACAGAGCCTGTTGGCAGGAGCGTTACCAACCATCATGGGGGGGTGTGGCAATGGGAACCACCGTGGGAAAAAGCACACCTTGTGTGGGGTGATGGAGGGGGCAGAGAGAGCGGTTTGGGGTGGGAGCCACGCCAGCCAAACCTTCCCTGCTCCCTGAGGAAAGCCGAGCTTGGGTGGAGATGCTCCCAGAGGAGACGGGCCCGAGTGGGACAAGGTTGGGAGGAGGAGGCAGGACCATGCTGGCAAAGGCTGAGTCAGAGAGGCTGCATTTGTCACCTAACCCTGTCACGCTCATCCCAATTTCTCATCTGAATGCAGCCAAAAGTGTTCATTCTCTTTCTTCCTTCTTAACTTGAGTTTACTCCTCTCCTTCCTTTCTTTTTTCATATATTTGTCTCTTTTCCCTCAGAAGACTGATTTTTGGAAGTGACAGGAGGTCCCCAGAGCCAASTGCCGCCAACCTGGAAGCGGATCAGGAGATGCAAGATGGGCAAACACCTCCTTGGATGATGTGAGGAACCTGGGGGTGGTTTCCATGGCAGCCCCTTGCCCCAGAACATGTGTTTATGATCCTTCTGTGTATTGTATTTTGGCATAAAAGCTCCTCYGCGCCGGCCGGGCTGGAGGGGCAGCTCGAAAGCCCCCAGGGGGGTTTACAGCCCTCCTTGGCATAAGAATGGCCACGAGGAGCCAAAGCAGCACCCCAAGGGCTGCCGCACGCTGCCTTTCATGGCAGGCATAAATCTGTCCACGCAGTGCCGTCCTTAAAGAGCCCTCCCGACACGGCTCTCAGCTGSCCGGCGCATTTTAAACCCAGTTTCCCTAAAGCCTTACTYAGGTGTCCCAGGTTGGGGCTTCCCYCTGGTCMTGAATTATGTGGGGATTTGGCYCATGAGGCCCCAATTCCCATTCCCCACCAGCAAAAAAWTCTCCATTATCTATTACACAGTCTATTCCCTGGCTTAAACAGAAATCCTGGTGGGATATTTCTTGTAACCTGATGTAGGTCATTGTCTTACAACAGGGCCAAAGCTTGTGTTTTAAAGTCTAAGACAGAGTCTTTTGCTCTGACAAGCTGACAACATAAGGATATAAGGATATCCTGCCTTCTACCTATTCTGCAACAGCTGTGCAGGCCCAGCAAAATTCTGGCAGCCTGTTTGTCCCCGTGACCTCCGGCACTGAATTTAGATAAAAGAAAGAGAGAACTATTGCCAGATTTGAAATCAAGCCTCTAAAAACCGATTGGAGTGAAAAAAAAAACATCCTCGGAGGGTCACTTTGCAGCAGCCAGGAGRGAACAGGGATGATGCTGGGGCGGCTGTGACACGCAGCCATCCCCTTTCCCTCGCCTCCCCCCCTTCTGCTTTTATTAAAAAGCAGAGAGACTGGTCCAAAGCTGATGGCATATTTACCTTCATGAGTTTTAAAAAAAAGTTAATTACCGCTCGGAGCAAGTTGGTCGGGCTGTCCTGAGCTGTCTTTTATTAGTAGTCGCCTTCATTAATTTCCCTTGCTGGATTTGCCGCTAATAGCTGCCTGGTCCTGGGCAGCACAAAGCAGCATCTGTGCCATTGAGCAGAAAAGCGGGAGTCAGGCAAAGGGGGGCACTGGGGGGGCGACGCCGTTTGCAAATCAACCTCTATTAACGTGATGTCCCGCTCGGAGGGGACGGCAGCCCCGGTAGCCGGCACGGCAGTTTGGGCTTCGCTGGGCTGTTACCGAGGGAGGAAAGCACCTGCTGCCTGCCGGGGGGACCCTGCCCTCATCCCACTCCCCTGGGCGCTGGCTGTGCCACCCGGGAACCCCTCGGGATGCTGGACCTGCCCCTGTGGACCCGTGCACCCACCTCGGGGCTGCGGATGCTCCGGTCCTGCAGCAGCATCACGCATGAAACAAATTGTTAATAACTTGGTATCTTTTGATGGAAGATATGCTCTGCCTTAAGAACAGCATGRCAGAGAAGTTTGGGATTAGGGAGCGGGATTAAGTTCTGTTTGGAGGGGGCAGCGGGCAGGCTGGGGGGCAGAGGCACAGCGGGCTCACGCGAGCTGGGGCAGCGGGCGGCTGCGGAGGCCAACAGCCCCATCTGCTCCCGCTCTGCCAGCGGAGAGGGAGATGATTTCATCCGAGTGGAAGAAAGGAGGGTGGCGTGTGTCACTCCCGGGAGAGGGCTGAGAGCAGCACGCTGCTGCTGCTTCCCCGCAGAGCTGCGGGAGGCACCCGTGTGCCGGGGCTTCCCTCGAGGCAGCAGGTGACAGCAGCAGGTACCGACACCTCGCTGCAAATATCCCGGTTCTGGTCAGTGGGAAGGAGCTGCCGAGGAGGCTGCTGCTGCTGTGCTCTTCCGAGCAGAAGAGATTGGGCAGCACGGGCTGTGGCTCTGCGCTTGCTGACATGAGGCTTTCCCCTCGCCCCCGTGAATAGCTGTGTGTGCTGAAGGAGCTGTGCCTAACTCCAGCAGCTGGGCTCTGGGGGCAGCTGATGCCGGGTTTATGGGAGCGGGGCCGTGCTGCCTCGCGTGCAGGGGCTGCCTCACAGCTGGAGGGGTCACCCTGTGCCAGCTCTCCGCCAGCCGGAATGGYCCGGGATGCTGCGGCTCGGAGGGAGAGGGAGGGAGGCAAGCCTGGCTCAGCCCTGTATTGCTGGGATAACTGAGGATAACTCCCTTTCCACTGCATCTGTTCTAACAGCAATTCCCTGAACTGCTCCGTAGAGTCGTTAGTTATTGGCAAACGAGTGAGAAAACCATTCTACCTGTTGTTTGCAGGCTTTGGTTGCATCAGCTTGTCCCCTGGATATCAAATTTACTAAGTTCGATGCACAACCATGACACACAGCCAACAAGAGTCTGCCTCTCACCTGGATACCTGCAGAAAGGGAAGGAGGAAAAACCTCTTTAAGCAAATACCTTCCTTGAAGGACAGGAAAGTGTGTCACCACTTTGTTACAAGCAGGCTGGTTTTGTGCCTGATTTATAGGGCCACTTACATGATGTGCAAACTCAAGCCCTTGAGTATAGGTGAGAGGAGGAAATGTTTCATATTTCCTCAAGTATGTCCCTACTGTTCACACTGCACTGTTCCAGCACAACACAGTTCCACTCATTGTGTTGAGACTGGCCCTCAGTGTTTATACTGAGTACTCAGGTTGGAACTTGCACAGTGTTACAATTAATGAAGCCCCAAARGCACCTTGGTAGCAACTTATTTAATACAAACCACTAAATCTTCAATTTAAAAAATCTAATTTCTAATTAAAGAAAGGAAAAAGTGTTCTMTGTGTCTCAGTTATTTCAAATTACTTTATTCTGAAACCAGAGRAAATAACAGCAATTTTTTCAGAAGCTGCAAGATGAAATTTACAACCTAAATAAATTCCCCACCATCAGAGTCAACTATTTATTTCCTCAATAATCTCCTATTTATACCACAAATAYGAACCAATAATTTAGGCTCTGTGTGTTTGGGGCCATGGGTGCACCCCAGTTCTTCAGGCCATGCTGTTATAAATCCATGATTTCCAGTCTTTAAGTCCCAGGTGAAGACAGAGTGTCTGATATGTCTGAAATTGTGCCCAAGCTGCAAAGAGTAAGACCAGCAGAATATGTTTCCATGTCTGTTTGAGAGGAAACTAAACAAGCTGATCCTTGACCCAAACTTTTACCTGTGAGTACCCAGAACTTTGGCTGAGATGGCAAAAYGTCTSCTAAAACCAACAACAGAAACGAGCKGCCAGGAAAAATATTAGGAAGAAGGCAAAATGCTGTAATTTCACATGGATGGATTTATTCAGGAGCACGTCTAGATAAATTTTCTTTTTCTTTCTTTGAGCGGGAAGGAGCTGGAAAAGGCATGAACGGCCAGGGGTCCCAAAACTGGAACAGACACGGCGGGGCCCGGCTGCTGGCAGCGCATTAGGACACTTTGTTGTGCAGAGATTGTCCGGGAGGTTTTGTTTTGGTTTTAATTGTCTCTATAGAGCAGGGAAAGCTTCTGCAGAGAGGCTTTAACACGGCATCCCTGCCGCCCATTAATTCCCGGGATCTTGCTAACTAGCTTTGTTTGCCCTCCGGAGCCCGGCGCTCGCTGGCCGGAGCACGGAGCTATGTGAGCGGCGTTTGTCACTTAGTTAAAACCAGCATTTCCCCACTGCCGAGGACAAGGCCGGCCTTTATTGGCTGCGCAACAAGATAACGGGCTTAATCTTCCCAGTAACACGTGAGTTTTCATGTATCACTTTAATCTGCGAGACATTGGGGCCGAGTGTCCCGTCACATGCCGATTTCACTGTTGTGTGAGCCGGCGACTGCCCAGCTCAATGATGGATTGTTTGCTGGCTCCGAACAACAGGCAAGATGGTGAATGCCCCGGGGTGACAGACAGTGTGCAATGGGAACGGCCGCAAATCTGATGGCCCGGTTCAAGTTCACCTGACAAAGCTGGAGCAGTCTGCGAGCAGCGCTCGGGAAAGGATTATTCACACTGGCATTATATTTTTGAATGCATTTTTCTCCCCGCGCAGCTGCGCAGCTCCCCAAGACTGAAGGTTTATGCACCATAATAAAGAGATTTAATTTTTTTTTCTCTTCCTTCTCCCTCTTTACACCTAGTTCTAATCAGTTGGCCCAGGGATAGGGCATCTTTCCAAACAATTCGGCACAAACATCACCTAGAAAACAATAGCATTGCTAAAACGCGAGGACAAAAGCCTAAAAATCTCTGCTGGCAGCAGAAACAAAAGGGGAYGGTTTTGTTAAAGCAAAGTCTGTTGGGGAGCCATCTTTTAGAGGAACTTTGACGCTGTGTTCTCTTTCTCATCGAGAAAATCTCCCCAAAGAAATTATCCCAGCCTTTGAGCTCGGGGGCAGCAGGACACTGGGGCTTTGAGGGGGAAAGGGAGAATGGGAATGAAGGCAGCTTTTTGCTGCCTTGCTGGACAACCTGCTCCCACAGATGTGTGGGGTAAAACAGAGTTCAGCTCACGGGTCACTCTGTGGGACTGACCTGTGMCAGTCTAGGCCAGCAGCTCCAGCGAGGGCCTTGTCAAAGACAGGCAGCGACAGATCTCGTTGCACTCCACATGCTGATCGTGGAAAAAGTAGTAAATTCCCTTCTTCCCAAAGTTGGAGCGTGAGACATCTTTGCTATTGAGGGAATGAATCTGGGGGTCTGTGAGGTAGATGAGGCCTTTCCCATTACCTGTGACCCAACCTGTGGAAGGAATGGTACATCTTGGTATCAAACACCACAGCCTTTGTATTACCACGCTCAGGACTCCCTGCCTGGCTCGGTTTGTGACACCTCAGCAATTTCCACCTAGGGCAGCAAAAGCAGAGCCCTAAGAGACACATAAAGAAATGAATACCTCAAAGATGCCTGTGGGCTAAAAGCTGAGTATGAAAGGCAGAAATTTCACTGTCATACACACCTTGAAGGTCGACAACGACATCTGTTCTGTTGGAGAACTCGTAGGAGAAGTGGCCGTAAGCCAGACCATACTCCGTGGCTTTGTACTCATTCTTCACTACCTTGGTGTTGTTGGACAGCTTCACAAACTCCCCGAGGATGTAGGGCTCCACACTCACACACCCTTTTATAGTTCTGTCTTCCAGTATCTGCAAGGAGACAGCCCCACTGTGCTACAATTGACACAGGACACCCTTCCCCATCAGCTCCTTGGAATGGCTCACAAGGCAGCTCTTACCAGCAGTACCGCAGAGGGGATATAAAAAATTTGGGTGGGGATCTTCTGCTCATACAGCCTCTTGTTGAACTCTGTCACATAGTACTGGGCAGTCATTTGGCGCTCCACGTCACTGAAATGATGGAGGAGTCCTTTTGCTTCTTTATATTCCTTCCCAACATACCTAAACAAAAGAAATGCTTGAAGCAATGTTTGTTCTGCAAGTTGTGATACAGAAACATCACTGCAATGCGGAGCTTGGCTGTTCAGAAGTAAATCCACCWGTGGCTGATGCATTTTTAATGGCTGTTATCGAAATTGGGTGGGTTTTTTTTTCTTCTCTATCTCATAGAGGTGAAAAATTATCAGTCAAATCCTGGGATGGGTGGTTCACAACACCAAAATGTTTAAACTCAACTCTTCTTGACTCTGAAGGGAGATGTGACTCAGGTATTAAAACACTKCTCTCAACCCATAATAATGTACTAGCTACTTGTAGTAAGGGTCTCGACTCTGCAATTAGCCCTTAGAAGACAACAGTGAAGCAGCTTTTTCTTGCCAGAAATAAAAAGTAGAGTTACATGGAGTGGTGGGAAAAATTGCCAAAATTCTCAACACATTTGGGAAAGCCACACAATATTATTGCTACAGTAAATCTTACCAGACACCTTTTATCCATATTTACACAGAAGCAGCATTGATAAACATTTTGTTTTGGAAACTTGCTTGGTCCATACCTTCCCAGGCTTTCTTCTTGGTGCAGGAAGTGTATCCAAAAGGCATTTCTCTGCTTGCCTTCCTTGGCCACGTTCAGGTAGTCCCCGATGAACACGGCTGTCTCCTGGGCTGTCCACAGCCCGGATTTCTTGGAGTATTTCAAAAGAAGAGCAGCTACAGAAAGAAAACACCATGGGTAAAAGGGAGAAATCCACTGGACTGCTCAGAACCTGTGCCAAGGGCTGGCTGGTATTTATGATTAACCTAAATAGACAGTTTTCAGGGATGGAATGTGGCATCTAAACTCAAGTAATGGGGTAGAAAACAATAAAAAATTAAATCCTAATAAATGGTGAYTAAAATATTGTGTCAAAAAGCCTAAGTCAAGCTTCTTAGTGGAGATGCTGTGTGGGAACTTACAGTATGCTTTGTGAAGCTCTTTGGTCCTAAAAATCCCMGTAGGCATCAGTCTCTGGACAAGCCAATTATGCTCCACCCCTGCCAGAAGCTGCTTGTAATCATCATCCCTCAGAAACCGAGCACTCAGGATCTCTTCCTTCGCTCTCCCAGGCGTGAAGGCAAAACCACTTCCCCTTGGGATGGACCCTTCGGGGGAGCTCGTGGGCACGTGTGCTGATTTGACCCATGAACTCRGAGATGAACTGGACTGCCTCTTGCTGCTCACCATGTCCTGAGACTTCTCTCCATCTTCTTCCGTAGTGGCACAGTGGAAGTGCTTGGCTGTGGATGTCTTTCCCTGAGAGGGCAAGGCTTTTGGCACACTGAGACTCGCTTCATGCTTTGAAGCCAGTGCTGTGGAGTAATTGTTTACTGAGTCTCCAATGAACTCAAACTCAGTCTCTACTGTTTCTGCCTGGATGTCAACTTGAGGCATCTGGAGAGATTTGCTCCCCAGCAAGGCAGATTTCCTCATCCACTCACACACAGAGGAGTCACTGCCCGTTTGGAGCTCCATGTTTGTTGATAGTRCAGCAGCGCCCCCGTTTTGGGAGGGATGTGCCTCACACGAGGGATCCTCGGTGCTTTCTGCAGGTTCACCTGGGCGGACTCGTTCCCAGCGGCCAACGCCTCTCTCACTGCTGCTGTCCTTGGTCCTGCAGCTCAGCTCCACATAGGAAAAGGACTTCTCCTCCTCCTGCCTGGTAGGAAGCGAGTAAGAGATGGAGAGAGAAGGAAACTCATTGTTTGAGCCCTTTGCTTTCTGTTCTGAAGAGCTCCTTCCACAGCGTCTTCCCTCCTGCAGCTCTTCTCCACAAAGAGACTCCTTGTCCTGCACCCTCCCAGCTGGAGGTGCACATCCCTCTGAGGAATGCTGAGGAGAACCCCCTGAGCCATGGAGGGATCCACGAGGAGCAGGATGCCAGGCTCCTGGAGACACTGAGTGCAAGGATGTGGCTTGGCTGTTTTCATCACATTCTGTGGTGCAGCACTGCTCCTCCACCGAGCCCTTCTTCCCTTGCTGCCCTTTCCTGGAAGACTCTCTGCTGCTATTACTGTTTAGCTCCTCCCAGCTGGAGGAGAAACTGGATTTAGAGAGCTTGCACCAAGAGCTCTCAGAAGTAGAGTTCTGGCTCCTGTTTTGCCCTCTGCTGAAAACTCCATTTTCATTTATTTCCATTTCTGATGGCTCAGTCTCCTCTTCGAAGGAAATTTTCATCACACCACAGTCAATGCCTCGATTTCTCTGGCCACCAAGTCCCTCTGAGCTGCTTCCTGCTGTTGGTGAGTTCAGGATTTTCACAGCACCTCTCTTCTGGTGAGCTATTTCTTCAGTACACAGCGTGTCCACGGTTTTGGTCTCTGTCCTTAAGGTTGTGATACAAGCTCCCACCTGCATTTCTCCTGGTGTGGTTTTATGAATCCTGCAAGTTTTCTCGAACACCTGGCACACTGACAGGTGATGCTGGGAATGCTTGGCAAGGATTTTCTCAAAGCTTGTTTCCCCYTGCAGGACAGGTTTTTGTACTGWTCCTTTATAACTGTCYGGGACATGAGACCTGGCATCRGAATTTGGGAAGCTTTYCACTCGCAGGCGCCTCTTCACGGAYGCRATCAGAGACATGATCTCCTTGGCAAGCATCCCTTTGCCTTCCTCCTCTGCAAACAAAGTGTTGTAGGAATGGAGTTTTGCCAGGGCTTCCCTGCAGAGCTGAGTGACCTCACGCAGCTCCTGGCTCTCTCCGTAGAGCCAGCGGTGCACGGTGGCGAGGCAGAAGGCAGCTTTGATGAAGCTGTGCAGCTCCTGCTTGCTGGTGATGGAGCTCTGCTCCTGCTTGGTGAGGAGCCCAATCTCGAAGGATTCTTTGGCTTCCAACAAGTAGAACTCTCTCTTTTCTGGGGGACAGTCTTTGGAGTGACTGTAGGACAGCAGRCACATCCCACGGATGTTCTGGGAGGGGATCAAAGAGGAATGAAGGAATTAAAAAYGTGTTTCTTTCCCTTACACAAATTGAAGCAAATGCCAGCTCTGTCTGCTGCTGTTTCCTGGAGGAAATAATCCTCTTTTTCCTTTGAAATACAGCTGTAGTTCTAGGAGAAGCAGCATTCCCAGGGCTTGAAAGCCCATSCTCACTCTGTGGACAGCTTTCCACCCCTCTGCTTAGCTCCTGATTGCAGTTCAAAGCAAGGTTTACTACCACATATTACCAAACCCACGACACAGACACAGGGTTTGAAAGGCAGATAAGAGCTAAATTTAGCAGCCAGAACTCTTCCCCTACACAAATCCCACTTGCAGAGGGAAGAGTAACACTCACCACGGCYGTGAGGACAAACAGGGGGGTGTACTGGCTGTAGGCTGCTGCCAGCTTGCAGGCCTCAGCAGCTGATAACAAACGGTGGCTGAACTCTCGCAGGAGGCTCTGGGGAAATGAAAAAATAAAAGAGCAAACATGAGGGAAAAAACCTAATCTCAAAGGCTTTGTTTCCAAATATATGGGGCCTGTAGGCAGGGGCAACCTCCCCACACAAACCCCAAGCCAAGTCTTACCAGGTCAATGTCAGCATTGGTTTTAAAGCGTGCATAATCCTGCTCATTCATGGAAGCAAAGATGTCTGCCATAATACCCAAGGAAGTGGCAATTCCCTGAAAGAGAAATTCAGAATTATCATCATGGCTTTTTWCCCTTGTATTTTGAATTTTACTGCTCTGAATAAAGTAGATTCCGTGTAGAACACACCAGAAAACAAGCAAGCAAACGCACAAACGAGATCTAAAGACAAGCATGGATAAGAAACCCAGAGATGCCATCCTGGTATCTTTCTTTCTTATTTTATTACTTTCAACTTGCAGCAAGTGTAATCTGGAAGATTTGATGCCACCTAAGGACATGATTTGATGCCTGGCTAAATAATTAACAAAACCAGGAAGTAAATGTATGCTTTCACAAAATTCACTACAGAATTCCTTGTTTCCACTGAAATGTAAAACACAGAAATATTCCGAGCTTGAGGTCAAGCTTTCAGATATGGCAGAGGAGAGGTGACAAGGTCTGGGTTTGTGGGGTACATTATGTATTGGARAGGGTCCAATTACAAACCCTCTCCAAGCATCACCCCAGGACTTGCCAGACTTAGGCTCACATTCCTGTTTAGCTATGGACACATGGGGAGACTGTCCAGTGGGAAGATTAGTGCTGCCCAGCCTCACAAAGGTGTTCCAGACAGAGAGGGTGGCTGTGGGAGGTGCTCAGGATCTGCAGGGCCAGGGAAATTCATCACCCATCACAGACAGYGCACAGCAGCTCCACAAACAGATGCACTTGGGGGAAAAATAATCAGTTCTAATCCGAAGAAACAGCTAAAAATCTACGGCTGCCTTCTGGAATTAGTCYGCCCTTGTTGGAGGGATCCTTGGGGATGGTTCTGCTTAATGAGAAGTATTGCTTTCATCCCCCTGCAGGAAAAAGGTGCGGGTCAGCCCGTGCATGCACGTGGAAACAACGCGGAATACAGACTTTGTGCTGCCTGTTAACCCTGGCTGAGGTGTGTAATTGAAACACCACTGCTGAAGGAAACAAAAGCTAAGCTGGAGTGATTATTGGATTGGCAGGGATATGCAGGGTGGAAAGAAAATGCTACCTTTTTGTCTGGCTGAGGAAGTTTGAAGTAGCCCACGACCGAAGCCCAGATCAACTCTGCTGCCTCATACCACATCCCTGAAATAAATCAGAAAACAGGCACTGAGCAGGTGACTGCCAAGGATGGCTTTCACAGGTTATTTTACATCTCAGATCCTCAGAACAGGATAAAACCATACCATGGTTTGTTTTACTCCAATGACACTRACTTAAATTTATGTTTCCTTTAGCTTTTAGCTGTGCATAAACACACATTTAAGCCTCATAAAAGACTTCAGCTCCACAATCCATGGAAGATTTGGTGCCTCAAACCAAAAGCACAATGAAGGCTGCTGCCTCATCTGCCAAACCCTGAATACAAAAGTCCACCACGCTGAAAATCAGGGATTTTCCTGTGCTGAGAGAGGAAATGGTTAAGATCAACTACTGCCTGCCTTCAGAAACAGTGAATTTAGGACAGGCATTAGCAAACACAGAGCAGCACACAGAAAAAAGGGAACATTTCAGATTGCTCCTCGACTTCAGGTGAGATTGGTAATAAAATGATAATTCCTGCAATATGTTTGCTTGGCACATGGCTCCAGGCCCTTGCTGCAAAGAGATGGGTGTGCAACTCAGCTTCTGTGGCTGTTTTATGGGCACAGGGTGTTCACCACAAGCCAAAACTCTGACATGTGCCCAGTGTAACATTTTCAAGAAAAAAAAAAAGAAAAAAGGGGGAACCTTGAGTGGAAGGTTTTAGAAAATAACCTTACCAAGCTTTTGCAGAATCTGTCCTCTGATTTGTAAGCAGACTGCCTGAACTAGAATCCGATCACTTTCCTCAGCATATCGCCAGGTTCCTGCAGAAAAAGGGGAAATTCAGTCTATGAGATCAATGGAAATCTGGAGCATGAACATTACTCCAACAGCCTGGATTTTTGAAGGGATAGAGCTGTCACAGTTTCCTAGATCAGCCAATTGCYTGAAGTTGGTCCACATTTTAAACTCCTCCATCCAGAATATTTCCCACCCAAGTGAAGGTATACATGGATGAATTATGGAAATTTTAAAAAACAAAGCCGTGCTTCCACATTTTAGGAGASAGTGGTAAAGAAAAGAGAAACATGATGTAAGGAGTCATTACTGGGGTTGTTTTGGCCATATTTGAGGCTGCTGTAAATGTTAAAATTGGAATCACAAATCTCACCCAAACAGCAAGTATGAAATTGGAAAATCAATCTATACATACCTGTTGCTCCATTGTCATTAATCAGGCTGCTCARGATATATTCAGCTTTTAGAAGTTTACCTGGTTGAAAGTTAAAGGGGGAAAAAAAAGCATAGAAAATTAACATTAAAGTGTCTGGTGTGGCATGAACTGAACAAAAATACTCATCAGTTATCATCTGCACGTGGAACTGCTGCTGTCCATAGCCAGAAATGCACGTGCCCCACGTTCTGTAATATGYGGTTGCACAGTAACATGAAATCATGAATATATCTGTTTTATTTCAGACATTATACATTCCTGAAAGAATGCTGGGATTCCCAGATCTAATTTCCCTCCTTGTAGAAAGTAGTATAGCCTGTTTCCTTCAGCAGCAATGCTGCTGGATTCTGCCACAAGGAAACACAGGCTTTGGAAACCCATTTTGGTCTGACTGGGGAGTGGCTTGACATCCCACCACAGATGCACAGGCACAGGAAGATGCGTTAAAAACCCTTCAGGTGTTGTCTATGTTATAGGAATGATGGAATTTAATTTTTGAATCCTGGGGGGGTTGTAATCTGCATTGTTTTCAATAGTCAAGTGGCCCCACCGAAAAACAAAAAGCAGCTGGGACAGTGGAGAGAAAATGCCAGGATTCTAAYTTCCTTTTTAAAAATTAGTCAGGAGTGCAGCAATTGGTCAGGAGTGCAGCAATTCAGATACCCCTGTTTGAAACCAGCAGGGAAGATTTGTTAAGGAACAAAAGCTCCAATTAGTATTTTCCACACCCTTTCACAATTTTCTCTCCTGCTTTTGGCTCTGAAACCCTTTATACCGGCCCCTTTGTGCTAGTGAGAGGAGCCGGGAGGGCTCCGGGGGGGGCTAGGAGCGGGAAGCGCGTTTGGAAAGATGGCACGGTGAGCGTGTCACTCGCAGMGAAGGGACAGCGTGTCCCCTCCAGAGTCAAGTAGCCGCTAATGGAGCTGCGGAAGCAGAGCTGTACCTGCGTTGACGGCGAGGCGAGCCTGGCGGATGAGCAGCTGCGGGCTGATGGGAGCCCCGGGCTGCAGCCTGTGCAGCCCCTTGGCGAGCCGCAGGAGCCTGCTGGAGGCGTCCAGCCAGTACAGGAAGCGGTCAATCAGGAACAGCACGGCAGTGGCCGTGGGGCAGTCCTTGGCCAGGATAGACGCCTTCAGATAAGCCTGAAAAAAACACATGGAAACTCAACTTCAGCTCCAGCAACCCTATTCCTCACCAGATTTCTAGGTGTTTGTGCCATAGATACCATTCCCGATTTTGTGTGTGTGTTTCTAATTATCTAATATTTGGAACTGCAGAATTTGGTGGTCTGCTAACAAATGTAAGTCACACCCAGCAGCAATTAGTTTAAAGGGGTGATATGAGACTGGGAAGACTGGAAATGGTCACTCCAGCCATTGTGCCATATGGAGCTCAGGCCATCCACTCCTTTGTACACCACAAACAGGCGAGCAATCCAATTTTTTTTTTTTTTTTCCCTGCAGGTCATCTTTAATAACTACTAGGGATCTATGAATCCTCCTGGATTCCCAGGGTKGTTGAGCCACGGCACCCACACATGAGGAACTGTCAGAATTCCTGGGATCCTTGCTGTTAAGGGTCAGCAAAGAAAAGCCAGAGGAGACACACAGCCTCATCACAGTTGCACAAGTCCACATGGACCTGAGGACATTTGCCAAAACCCAGCGACTTCCCATGTTGGGCAGGGCTTGGTATTCCTGCTCAGTGGAGTGAGGAGGTGCTCCATGCAGTGACACCCAGGAGATTGCTTTTCCAGAGACTGCCACGAAATCTTTGTCCAAATCCCCACTCCAGCACTAAGAACAGCCCTCTGAGGTGTGAAGGAAAAAGCCCATGTCAAACTGGGGAGGATCCTATGGCACAAAGGCCGGCTTGAAGCACCGATCCCAAGCACTTCCCAGCTTGTTTGCACTTCACCAAGTTAGATTTGCACAAATTTCCTTTTTTTTTTTTTTTTTTTTTAATTTTTCTTTCCTCATCCCGAGTTGGATTTTCTAAGAGGATGGCACTTAAAAAGGATTCCTGGAGCCCGGGCAGGCACAACTCTGCTTGTGCCGCCCAACAATGGAGGAATCCCCCTCTCCAAGCACCTGTAAACTGACACAGCAAACCAGCCATTCCAAATGCTCATCAACAGGCCATATATTTAAGCACAGAGCATCGCCTAATCTATTTTTTTTTCCTCCCCTTCTTCCTTTAATAGATCGGAGCACAAAAGCCTGAGAGAGGGTGACCTACCAAACAAAAGGGCCTTTGAGATCCTAGGAAAAGTAGACTTGGAGGAGGATGGAAGGAATCCAAGTGGCCCTATTATTTCCACTTGCACTAATTAGACATTTTTCTGTCAGCTATTGAGCACTGCTGAGAGGCCAAACTCACTGAATTCATTTCTAAAGTGTTTACAGAAGTTTGCATCTGTTTGTGTCTCTTCAGGAGGAAAATAAGCACTTCAATAGCATTGTGGAAAATCTAAACGAAGCATCCTATTCTGAAGGGCTTGGCAGTCTTGCAGCTGCATAATTTAACTCCCCACTCAATGCAGAAACCTCTTGTGTCCCTCTCCAAACCCAAATGGACACAAAATGTAGAAAAGTCAAGCCAGGGGGAGAAGCGGGGCTACTTTTTTTTGGGAGGCAGGGCCGCATGCTGTGTGGCACACAGCGACACGGCTCCGTGTCAGCCTTCGCAGCGGCGTCACCCCCCGTTCCGAGCAGGACACCGAGAAATTAATACCCGCTCCTTTCATTCCCTGCCAACTCGTGTGGCTGGAAAATTCCTCAGCACCTCCAGCGAGTGCACCGGCGTGCCGGGCACGCACCCAAGCCACGCACAGGGATGGATCCTCCCCAAAACGCCGCTCTGAAGTGAAGCGGGCAGCGGCTCCCTGTCACCAGCYCAGAGCCAGAGAAATCCCTCTGCTTCCCAGGATGTCTCAGCCTGCTCCATCACAACCAGAAACTGGCAGCCTACACAGATTTACTCACTTTCTCCACTGCTTTAGGCACATCCACACACACACAGAGAGAGAGAGAGAGAGAGAGAGAGAGAAAGAGAGAGGTACACGCGCACTTTGTTTTCACATCTGTGCCCACGATGTGAAATGGATCTGCCTAATTGAGTTTATGACACAAAGGGAACCTCGCGGCTGGGAAGTGGAATCAGGTGGTGGGAGAATTAAATTTGCACCAGATTTCTATACACGGACCATTGGGGGAAATGCAAAGCAGCCTTTAGTGAAGGGGTTTCGCCTTAATGGCGCTGAGTGGGAGGGTGTGCGGTTCGCATGGCTCCCTGCATTAGCGGGCTTAGCTCCTCCTCACGCCGGGGCTGAAGTTTGGGTCCCAGCTTTGGGTTCAAAGCCACGACGCCTCCTTTGCATTGACAATGGGGGCCGCTCCCAAGAGAGGGGAGAAGCTCAGAACCGGGGCCATCTGGCACTAGGACGGGCAGGAAAGCGTCAAAGGGAAATTATTGGTGCATAGTAAATGAGGATGAGGAGGAGGGGAAAGAAATAAGGGAAAATCTTGATGCGGCAGCTGATGTAAGAGGAATTACAAGCCCAAATAAATGAAATATTGATTTAATCCACTCTCTCGGCCCYCTTTATAAAGCGAAGATCCCAGAGGCAAGCCCTCCTCCATAGCCTGCAGGCTCAGGAGGATCCCCTTTGGAAAAACRCCTCCACAAACAGCGTGATTAGAAAGCGGGGCAAAGAAAAATTTAATTTTCAGCATCCTCACAGTTTTGTGGATGCTCTGGACTTCTGTGTTTGCTTATATCCACTTGTCTCAGACWGGTTCACGCCTTGTTTCCTTTCTAACTGCAGCTGACGTTTAAAATCTTTTTTAAAAGCCACAAAACTGAGAGTGGCCGGCAAAGAATTTCTAATTCCGTGCACAAGGCGGGAGTGTCAGAGGCACGCACGTACTTCCAGGTGCCTTAGTTCTCTCCCAAGAGCTGCTCCTAGTTAGCACTCCACTGAACCCTAACAAATTGCCCGGTTTTCTTTCCCCCTGTCAGATTAAACACACAGCCACACCGCCGATGGATTGGGTTGAAGCCTTTCCCCCTGTTACCCCACGCGCCGTCAGCAAAGCCCGTCTTTCCAGAGACCAAAGCTGCTGTCACCGCGCACGACTTCTCTATCAATCCCTCCCTTTCAGCTGGCAATCAGAGCCCCTCCACAAACAGCAGGGAATTAAGCCTCCCACCACCTCGGTGATGGGCAGAGAAAGCGTGTCTGGAGGTGCAGGCTGAAACACGGGACAGGCGCACAGTCAACTGTGGCACACTGAGGAATCAGCGGCTCCCTGACGCTTCCCTTTTGGCTCAGAGCAGATGAGAATCCCCCCACCCCGCCACCCCAACCTGTTAATTAGCTCAAGTTATTCATCCTGCAGGCAACGGAGAGTTGGGAATTCAATGGCAGCAGCAGCACTGGGTTCCTCAGAAGCTGCTGAGGAAATCAATTCTGTTCAAATCGCACAGAATGGGGCGGTTTTTACAATCGACTGTACCTTGCTTTACCARCTGAGCAAGTCCTAGAGCGGGAATTACTCCTGCTTTTCTCAAGAAAAAAAAGACAGCAGCATTTTGTGAGGAGAACTCCTTAAAGTGCCCARGAAGCTGCTTGAAGTGGGGTTCCTGGGGGCCTCATGTATCCAACAGGTAGAAGGGATTTGGGGACCACAGGCATCTTCAGGAGTTCCTGCTCATAGTTATTACCAAAGGCAGAGAGGCGCCACAGTCATTTTGTGGCCTTGGTTTGTTCTAGACCACTTACAAACTATTGTGGCACATTAAAACACTGTTGATGGGGAAATTTTAATACTTAAAAATAGCAAAATGCCARTGAGAGAACCCTGCCAAGAGAGCAGCAGCAAAACCATTATCATCACCTAAAAATCCAAGAGTCTCTTCTCTAGATCTGTCCTYACAACATCAGCCCACTTGAGAAAACACAATCTCAGGAATACAACATTTAAAATTGTAAATACTCCATGAAGCTGCCGCTGACAGGAGTAAGCCCTAGCCATGAGCAAAGTGAAGTAACAGCCCTAAACAAACCCAGGATCCAGCTTCCCTCTTTTTTTATGATCTGCACAAATTCTGCAGTAATTTTCCCACCTAGGCAGCAGAAGACAGAGAGYTCTGCATCACCAGGGCGGTCACCCTGGACATCTAAAGCTCTCCTGCCTGCACCTAATCTCTGACACTTCTCACTTACAAAGCCTCAGGGAGGCTGGGGTGCCGAGATCCCCTCCCGGTTTGAATTCATCCCTTACATCACTCTCCGTTTCACTGGGATCACCCAAGAAGAGCTCTTAGAAGGCAGGTAGCAAAAGGTCAGCCTGAACAACCCAGATCCCAGGGCTACGATTTAGGGCTTTAATTCTCCTGTTACCACACCGACAGTTAGAAGGAGGAGAAAACGAAATCCTCAGCCCCCTCTTTAGCTCTTTTTCAAAGGCTCCCAGCCCTTAAGTGCCACACACACACCTAMGGCACTTAGGGCATGTCCCTTGGAATTGTTTCCCTAATGGCAATCCATCAGCACCTAATTAGCCAAGGCCCAGCCAAGGGCTGCAGGGCCTTATTTTCCACTCTTTTCAATATTCCCATTAAATCCCRTGAGATTCAGTGCTGGCAAGGCCAGGATCCGTGCTCCCCCATCCAGAACAGGGAGCGTGGAGCCAGCCTGCACAGGTCCCTACAGCGGGTGCAGAGGGATTTGAGTAGACCCACTCTCACGGGCTTCTCCTTTTGGATTCCCATTGCACCCATCCCAGCACACCCTGGTTCATGACTGAATGTTTATGGCTGGATGAAGGAATCATTGATAGGTRTGATCAAAATGAAGTAAAGCCCCCCATCATTACAACGGGTTTGCAAACAGGCAAAAAAAAAAAAGAAAGAAAAATTAATTAAAATATTAATGCAGCAGRAATCACCCCACAAGAGAATTACGTATGTGCATAGAGTTGTCCTTCAACTAAACCCACAGCAAGATTTTTGGGATCAAAGTCTCCGTGGACATGGGCATGTTGCCCTCTATTGGCTGCTCACTGAGCGCTAGGCTAATTCCATCCCTTGGGATAGCAAAGATCTTCACGAAGGGCACGCCTGGCAGGGGGATCCTCCCTTAGGGACCTGCAGCCCCATTCCAAACCYCACAGCACAGTGGTATTTAAAAAGGAAAAGTAATCCCTCCTTATGTATCCTTATGTCACAGCATGGATGCTGTGACAATCCYGATTTTGCTTTGCCTTGTTAAAAACAAAAATCTCAGTGTTTCCCAGTTTTGGCTTTGGATACAGATGTTGGCTATCAAACTTTAGTGCAGATTCCCACCACGGGAGCAGCATGACGGGCTTGGATTGCTAGCTGAAACCTGTTAGGGAAACTTGGAAAACAGTTTGCTGAGCTTGTTGAACTGTGGTGGCCTTTGGGTGGTGAACCCAGGTAGGAAAAAGAAAAAACCCCAAAAATCCAAACCAAAACCTGGCCCTTGTATGGGATGCAGAGGAGCAGTGAGCATCCCACAGCAAAGACGAAGGAGAACACTTGAAGACGGTGCAGGTGCAGGTGGCTTTGCCTTCCCGAGGCGCCGGAGGAGCGCGGAGCCGCCGGCAGCGCGGATCCCGTTTTTTTTAAAGCGCGGATCCCGTTTTTTTTTTAAAGTGCAGCAGCGCGGAGGCAAACCCTTGAAGCCACAGCCTAATCCGCTTACTCAGGGAGCCTCTCAGCCCCCTCCCGGAGCCAAACATCCTCACCGAGAGAGAGCCCCGGTAGCCAGCGCTGCCTCCTGCAACACCACCAGTGTGTTATGGTAATGAAGGGCCTTTCATTCATGGATCTCAAAGCACTTTTTAAATGTAATGAATTACGGTTTATGAGCTTATTCTAAGCATGGCAAATTAAAATAAACAGAGAGGAAAAATTTTAAAGGGKTTTTTTTTCCTCCCCCCCAGAACAATAAATGGACAAAGACTTAATTTTTTTTTGTCCTCCAGGGAATTAAATTATCCTTCTGTCCCTCATGCCAAAAAAAAAAAAAAAAGAAGAAAAAAGTTGCTCCGACTTTTATCTTTCCTCATCACACTGTAATCACTTCTCTTCAGCCTCATTTCCCCCCCAGCTTTTTATTCAAAGAACTGAGGCAGCCTTTGCTCTGCCTTGAAATTTTATTTAAAATAAAAAAGAGGGGGGAGAAGGAATGGATGAAGGGGAAAAAAAATCCCTTTTCCTGACTAATACTAATAATACAGGTCAAAATGTCAGTCTATCTACAATTAAATGGAAAACAAAAAAGGTTTTCCCTTTTTCCCATGGTACAATGGCACTGGAATATAAATTACCGATGAAGATGAAATAATACTTCAAAGCACATGGGGAAAGGCAGCACAACGTTTACAAAGTATTTTCCACCGCAGGATGAAACATCGGAGACAACAGCAGCCAATGGACTTCAGGGGGTGTGGGTGAATAGCCCAAAACGAGCATGGAGGAGGATTTTAGGTCCCTATAGTCTCTGACCCCACGATAGGCTTTGTTTAACAAGGGCAGCTGCAGTTATCAACAGATGTTTCGGCAATAAATAATTGGTATCATCCCAGAAAAGATGCATCTACCTGGGGAGAGGGCACAATGCTGCAAACACTGCTGCACTATTACAGCCACATTAATCTCCCATCTAGCCAGGTCTCTCGGGGAGTTTGCTGCAGGTGCTTATCCCAGGAGGGAGCTCACAAACGCTCCCAAGTCACAGAGCTGYGCTGGGATTGTAAAGGAGGTCAACCTCTGCCATAAATTTCTGTCTGAGGCCACACACACCAAAGGGAGAAAGAAAATAAATACCCGAGAAAAGCCACTCCCCGCCCTCCCCAGGGAAATCCAGGAGCCCTGCGATGTGGGGATGCTGGGGCTCCCACTTCCCAGCCCTGCAGTTGGCTTCTCTTAGCTCCATGCTGTTCAAAGGAACCAAAATTGTTCCCAAAGAAAACCTCACTGAGGCAGGGCTCTCCAGAGCAGGTTAGATCTCCTGGTCACCTTGGAGTTAACAACAGGCAGGAATGGGACGGTGCTGCCTTCAGACATGCACCACAGGAACAAAAAAAAACCCACAAGCTTCACAAAGGTCATTTTCGTGTCTGTCCTGGCAAAGGGCGGCTCTTTAGCCCAGATATTACATTTGCCATGGAAAAAAAGGTGTCCTCTATTTGGCACATGTCTGATATGTGTCTAGGAAAATCAGAAAAGCAAAAAGCAATTCACATTTATTGCCAGTTTCCAATGGTTAAGCTCAAACTCATCACCTTACGGAATGGGATCCCCAAGGATCTTTGGGATTCTGCAATTCCTTACTTAGCCATCCTTTACTCAGAGGAGAAATCACACTGAATCCTTGCCGTTCCTGCCAACTTTTTGGCCAGGTTTGGTCCTCAAAGGGATTCTGCCATGGAATTTTATTAAAAAAGAAAAGCAGGTGAGGAATTGTGCAAGCCCTACTATAGTGAGTGACTCTCACAACCTACTTGCAGTGTATAATTAGAGGCACAGCATTCTAGTCAAGTCCATGAGGTTTCCTAAGAAAAATTATGTGAATATTTGGTATTTTAGTGTTATTATAATGCCAGTTCCTCAGGGATGAGAAAAGCATTATCTCAGCAGAAACAGAACCAGAACTGCCCTGTGAAAACCCCCCCAGCACCTCAGTGGGAGACATTTCACAGCACAGGTGTGCTGCACTTCATACCAGCAGGTCAGGGAGCCTGGCGCTGATCATATCTTGCAGGTTTGTTTTGTCTTCTGGGCCGAGCTCTTGTTTGTACTGCCACCTCTCCGGCACAAAGGGCCACTTCATTTCCTTCGCCTCCTGCAGAAGGCTCCTCAGGTCCTCAGGAAGCAGAGCTGAAAGGGTCAAAGAGCCGGTGAGGATATGGCAGCAGCCTCAGCSGAGGCACTCGTGACACCAATCTCTCAAAAAGGCCCTCTCCCAGTTGCTCCCAGCTCTTAGCCCTTGCCAGCAGCCTCGTGGGGAGGGAAGGGGAGCTGGCCTGCCATCGGTTCCCCTTGGCTGCACTGCCCTCCAGGTAAATGGGAGCCTCCAGCCATTAAAAAGGCTTTTAGCAGGAAGTGGGGCCGGCTGGTGGCTGCCTGGGCGTGAAGAGCTGCTCCAGAGTGTCAGGAGGAAACCTGTTCCCCTGTGTCAGGWGAGGACAATGGGGTCAACAGCACAGAAGATCTGTCCCCCTTGCTCAGGTGACAGTGCAGAGGCATTCTGGAAAGCCACATTCAAATGGGAGACAAACCTGGCCCACAGAAAGCAAGCAGATAGAAATCTAAAGGGTTAYAATAAATATTAAGTACATGCTCTTGGGCAGTTTGGCCCTCCCTGCTCTCTCTCCATACTGGTCCCAAGCCACTCCACCAGCTTTTGTTGGATCTCCAACCTGACCCATCTAAGGATGCAGCTGTTAGGGGCACACAGACAGAGATTTGGGCTTGGATCTGTCCCTTCCTTTCAGTCACAGCCCACTTTTCATTTTCCTTGCAACAGGGGTGATGTGGATGTGTTGTGCTGTCCTAACCACTCGGCTGGGCAGCCTCTGTGGCCAATAAAAGTGGATTAACAAGGATTATTGACCAGATGGGGTTAATGGTGATCATCAGCTGCAGATCTGGCCCCTTCTGGCCATTAATCCCCCAAAAAACCCCTGCTCAGAGACCATCATTGCTCTAACGAGGCAGTGCAATAAATGCATTACTATGTATTTTTTAATTAATCCTTTATGCAGGGACTGTGGAAAATGAACTCCRTAAAAAGAATATTAAATGTTTATATTGCAGCACATTTACCAGTATGGTTTTCCTAGGAAAAAACAGGAAGTGGGATATTTAGGCCCCTTCTCCAAAAAGCCACGTTTACAATGCTGTCACTTTTCCCAACCCATGTTTTCTCACTTGTTGCTGTCCCAAGGAAACACGGGGCTTGGAAAGCTTCCTGTTACACATCCTGGCTTAACATGAAGTCCAGTTTCCTTACCGTCCTGAAGTGGTGGCCTGAAAGGGCTCAGCCCTCCAGGCCATGGCAAGGTGGCCAAAAGCCAAAGCTGAGGGTGAGAGGAGGCTGTGCTCCCAYCCTCACACTTCTCACTGGAAAATCAGTGCAGGAGCAAAGACACCCATCTCATCACAAGGAACATAAAGTTATGGACAGAAGGACTTATATCCCATGTAGAAGGAGGATGACTGAGTTTCCTAAGTCTCTTCCTAAGGAAGATCCAAATCCAAGGACATGAGTTTACCCTCGTAACAGAGAAACATTCTCACCACTGGCAATATAAACTCATTAATTAATGAATGCTGAACGAGCACAGAAGTGGACTGGAATGATTTCTAGCCTTAAAAAGAAATAAWGAAGAAATTCAGACCCACCCAACACCCATCCTGCCCCATAAAGCGAGATAAGGATGTGCTCCTCCTCTCCCTCTCCCCATCATTTCTGTGGATTTGGCTTTCAGTGCTTCCTGCACCAGGTCTGAGAAAAGCAGGGTGAACAAAGGCAGCCCCGAGAGGAGAAGGGGGTGAGGAACCCCCTCAGTGTCTGCGCTGGGAGGGTCCCCCGAAGCCGAGAGCTGCTGCCCTGCRGGGCCCTGCCTTCCCCGGGCAGAGAGCCCCAGCAGTTATTAATGTCGCTGTCACCACCCCGCTGCTGGGTATTTTTCTTTCAGCTGATGGGAACACGGCCCTCGGAAAAGCCCGAGCAGCACTTCAGGCTCTGATCGCCCATTTCCTGAAGCAGTTTACCTGAAGGACCGTGTCTAATCGAGTGATTATAAGGGCACTGATTYACCTTATCTGGAACTAAACTGATTATTTCTCATACTTTGTGGTATTTAATAGGAGAAAAGGAGGGAGGAGGATGAGGGGAAAAAAAAGCGCTACCTGATTAGGAGTTCAAGAGCCTATTCTGCGGAGCCATAATAAAACTTAAAAGAATTTGTGACGAGGAAACAAAGTACCCTTTGTTGGAAACAAAAAAAGAGGAGAGAAAAATCTTCCAGTATCCATAACAGAAACCTACACGCCACCCTCCAGCGCAAACAGACTTAGGTGCTTCAGAAAAAGGCAGCTGACCTCCCAGCAAGAACAAGGATGGTCGGAAAAACATATTCTCAACGGCTCCGCGCCCCGGGACAAACAAAGGGTTTTAAAGATCACATTAACGTTATGGCCGAGCCACTCAAGCACGGCAAAGCTAAACATTATTAACACTAAACTGGAAAACGGGCAGTGCCGCAGATGTGTCACGCACAGGGAATCCTTAATTCCGCTGGAATTAAGAAATAATAAATTCTCCTTTTGCAGCACCACAGCGATACCAAAATAACGGCTGCTTTCCAGCAGGTAACGCCAGCATTGAAACAAATGAGGAATCCTTTTATTACAGCTCTYGCTAAACATTGCTTCCTTTCCTGGTTATTTATTCCAGCCTTTAGCCAGCATGGATTTTCCTTTCAAGAGGGATATTGCAAGGGGTTTTTTTTTTCTTTTTTTCCTCTTGGACACCACTTATAGAGGTCACACACATTTTACAAGATAAAGATTCGGGCAATGAGCTCTTTAATATATGAGGAGAAGCTGACAAACAGAGAGGGCCCTCCCCCAGTTCCTATGAAAGGAGAGGAAATATGTGCCCTTATTCAGAAGTTGCATCCTTTTTTTTCCTTTCTCCTTTTTTTTTTTAATAACTGAAATTTATGTGCATCAGCAAACTTTTGGGCATTGTTCTTCCCAAACTAAACTGTTCCTTACAGCCTCATGTTTACTGAAGCCTAAAATTAGAACTGACAGCAATTCACTGCAACAAAGTGGACTTCTTTCCCTGCCTGCCTGTAGCCYGCATCCCATTCATGGCCTCGAAATCCAGGCATCTCTTGACACTCATCTGCCCGGAGAAGAAAAATAGGGCAGGGCTGAGGGCCGGWGGAGCCGTGCCGCCTCTCCCGGGGCGAGCTCACCTTGGCACCGCCGGTATTCCCGCTCCTCTCCCTCGCCCGTGCCGGCCTTTGCCGCCCGGAGCGTGTCCAGAGCTCGCTCGCACTCCTGCAGCAGCACGGCCACGGCGTTTTGATTATTCATGAGGGCTGATCCCGCTCGGCTGTGAATTGGGTGTCCCCGGGTGCACGGTGATCAATTACTTAGGAGAAGACACGGGGTCCAAATGAAAAGGATCCCTTCAAGGCTGAGGTACCTGGCAAACAAAGGAGGGGGAAAATGATTAACTAAAGTATCATCAATTATCCGAAAGGCTCAAGCAGGGGGAAATAATAGGGGAAATACATGAAAATACATGACAGCCTCGGAGGACTTTATTAGAGCAGTGTGTGAAATCACTGCGGGGTCCTGGTGACAGTGAGTGAGGGGAACATCTCTGAGGTGCCAGGGAGACAGGACGGGCTCATCAGTGGAGCTGTGATATCCCAAGCAGGGAAGTGACTGTCGGGGCTGTGCCGACGCCCTTTGCACCTGAGAGGCTCCGGCTGTCGMACACAGTCATCCGGGATTGAATGGCAGAGAAGAGGATGCTGCGTGCATTTCCCAGACCACGGGGACCCTCTCTTTCACCCTGGGATGCCATCCCACATGTGAATGTTCTCCACAYACGTCCCACTGCAAGTCCTTCAGGTCTTTAGGACACTGCCAGTGGTGATGCAGCAAACCCCCACAATTTCGATCCCACATGTCTGGCTCAGCACGCGTCAGAACACACGGGCAGCTTTCAAAAATTAAGCTTAACAAAATAAATAGTTTGAGTTTGGGTTTTTTTTTCCCCACCAATTTGATGATGGTTTCACTTAAAAACTGTTCCTGCARTTTGAAGCAAAATAGCCAGGAACAGCCTCAGTCAAAAGATACCTAAAATGGGGAAACACTACGGCTGTGAAGGGGGAAGGGGAGTGCAAAGGAACACCCACACAGGCACAGTTTGCTCTGCTGACTGGAAACCATTCACATTTTAGCAGCTACGTTTCCAGGCAGTTTTTCCCTTTCTGTTGCAGCTCAGGGATCGCTGGATCCCGGAGCTGGTGGCAGATAGGCTGTGCTCTCAACGGCAACGAGCAGGAGCAAGCTGCCAGATTGAAAAGCAGAGGGCAAAAGAGATGCACTCATGCGAAAGCAGAGAGGATCAGAGAGCCTGCCGTGGAAGGGCAGGTGGAGCAGGRGAAAGATGGGATTCATCAGCAAAGAGCCTGGAGGCAGGAGCTACTCAGTGGGGCTCTGACTGACTCTGCAGACAAATGTCACAAAAAGAAGAAATTTAAAAAGTAACCGTAAAACAGAGACTGAGGGAAGGAGCACAAACACATAAGAGCAGCTGGGGAGCAAGTAAAAGATCAGCCATGGGCAGAGCCATGGRTAAAAACAGAAGAAAAACCCAGAAAGGGTTCCCCATCTTTTTAGCCCCAAATAAGAGCCAGCAGGGCCATGCTCCACAGGGTTTGAGCCAGATGAGCATAGCCGGGTGTTGGGATCACATCCCCATGGATGCACCAGGCACAGGACCCATTTAGCAGCTCCCATCAGGAGCAAAAGGAGACAGGCCAGAGATAGGGCTGGGGACACAATTACAGCATGGCCCAAAGTTCACCCAGGAGATGGGGCTGAACTGCCTTCACTGACAAAGATGAGCCAAAAAAAAGGACCCAACAATGGGATTTGCTCCTGGTGCAAGGTCCAATCCACACCCTCGTTCACAAAGGTCCCCTCTCCCTAAGGAGCTCAGGGTCGGCAGGGACAGACCTCTGAACCCAGTGAGAACAAGAAAGCAGAGTCCTCTGTTCCCACCCTGCCAGGTGTAGAGAAGCTGATCCAGCTGCTGYGTGTCCATCAGGGAACAGAAAAGCACAGTCACACTAACACACCTATGCCAGTGCTGCTTGCTCTGCTAACTGCACTGACATCTGCTAATTGATTTATCTGATTACCCAGCCCTGTGGGAAGGAGTGTGCAGCCGTCCCCGGAGTACCTCCCAGGTTGGGATGAAGCATCCCTGCCATCTGGCCCTGACTCCATTCCTTTGTGTAATTGATTTCTCAAAAATCTCATTTTCTAGGGAGCCCACTGGAGTTACTCCCAAGCACATATACACCTGCCTCAGATCCACTGCGGACAGCAGTACTGGGAGCTGGAAACTGCTTCAGGAGCRTGCAGAAGCACGTTGGAGAAGGCCTGTGCTCAGCTGCCACCTTGCAGCCTGTGAATAAATGCTCATAAGCACAGTTTGCTGTGAAGCAAATGAACACTGGGATATTTCCCTTCACAGAAAATAACACGGCACTAGGAGTATCCAAGGGATGTGCTCCACTCCTCTGTCAGAGCCCAGAGGCCCAGATCAGAGTCCTGAAGTCAGCTCGGGCAGTGCTGCAGCCCAGCTCTCGCTGGGTCGTTACTGTAGGCAGGAGGGGCTGTGGCTTTGTGAGCCACACAAGCTGCCACTTTCACAAAGAGCTGCCGGGCTTAGCAGGGAAGCCCAAATTAGTGTGGAAGTACAGCACTTGGCTTCCTTGGATTGGGGGGATTTAACTCACCRGGAAACTGCCAGGTCCCTAACAGTGATCTATGGGTGTCAGCAAGAGAGGAATTTTTCTTCAAGTACATTTTTCCAAAGGATTGAATAAACAGTGAGGACACTTGGAGTAATAAAATAATGATTTACAACAGCAAAGACACCAAAGTGCTGAAAACTTAGAGAAAAGTGCAATAAACTGTACATTAGTACTCAGAAGGTAAAGAGTCTTTTCAGACCCATCACCAGGGACAATGACTAGCATCATAAAATCAGCTTAAAATGCACCAAAGAGCTTTAAACCACATCAGCAACCTTTACACAGATGCCACTTTGTAAGTTGTGTTTTGTGACAGCTGTGGCCTTGAGTGACAGCTGGGAGGGGGAAATAACCAGGCAGGCAGCTTTCCTGGGGAAACACAGGACCTGAGCCTAAAGCCCAAGAGCAGAACAGCAAAAACTTCTGGAGGCCTTTAGAACCTTCTCAATGGTTACTAATCAGCTTTATTAAAGTTCCCTTAAATCCTAACAAGTGGTACTTTCAGGGGTGGTTTTGAAGTGGTAAAAATTGCAGCTGGACATGCTGCTAAACTGCCTGGGCAAAAATGTTTTCTAAGGATGCACTGAAAAATGCTCTTCGAAAACATGTTATAAAAACAATCTTGCATCAGATTGAGGATTTAAGCATTTCTTGGTGATAGGAAAGCTCCTTTACTATGGTTTTGGGCAAAACCAGCTTTTAAATGCTCAATGTGATTGTTAGAGACTTTAAAACAGAAATTTTGAGCAAAAGAAATATCTGTGGCATTTCTGGTTGGAGCCTGGATTAAAGTAACTCCTCGCATCAAATATGATGAAAAAAAAAAAATCTTACGAAGATCCCAGGGGATAAGAAAATACATTTCTGTGGTTGTGCTCTAATTGGAGCCACGGTTCAGGACAAGAGGGGTGGAGGGAAGAATTGGGTGGGCTACAGCGAAATGATCTCTTTAATAAGAAATGGGCCATACTGTGACATTTCAGAGCCCTTGGGCTAGAAGACCAAAAGATCTGTCAAGAGAAAGGAATTTTAAGTTCTGCCATAGATGGAAGGAAGCCTGGGAGTCAATCTAGCCGGTTTAAGAGCGCAATTAGCTTTGGAGGCTTTAAGAAAAAGAAGATGTAATTGCTGCATTCAAACTTCAAATGCAGCAAGGATAACAAGCACTGGTTTCTTAGACAACATCATTTGGTAAATTTTCCACAGCATTATGGTCCTGAAACACAAATTAGAGATCGCCAGACCTTTTCTCTCTGAAAATATATTATCCTAATTTTCATCTTATTCAGGCTACCCTCCAGTTCCAGGGAGACTAATGAAGAGGAAGCAAAGACCTGATGAGTTCCATGTGGAGACTACATTTATGGATTAATCCCAACAGGGAGCAAATAAACCTTATTCCCAGAGCTCTCGGTTGGGACTCAACACAATCAATTGAGGAATGGATAGTTATTTATGACTGAGGCTGTTTTGACTTTCAAATAAACATTTTAATTATTTTAAGTGTTACACTGGAACTTAGAATGTGAGCCCTCCTTTCATTGCGGTGTCTGGCTCTCCTGCCTCCTAATCCCAAACCTCTCTGGTCATTACAGCACCGTGCAAATGATACTGGTTTTCATGCCTAAAACATTTAAAAGGTAAAATCCATGGACCAGACAAACYGGGGAAGGGAAAGGAGGAAAAGGAAGGAGAATCCCTCTGAGCAGAGCCAGCATAAATGAGACAAACACCCTCAAACTGCACTGAGCCTAAAGCAGCAGAGGTGCCCAACTCTGCAACCCTTTTGTAGTCAAGTTGGCACATCCTGATCCATCTTTGTATCCTGCTTTTCTCTGCCTGCTCCTACAAGCAATTTTAATAACCGAAGTACTTAGGAGTGYTTCTTTTCTAACAGCTCATTTTCAATTCAAGTACCTGCACCACTTGCACTGTAGCTTTTCCCTCCAGCCTCATTTGGTGTACTGTGGCCCTTCCATTCGGGGCTTCCCTGAGGTTAATGAAGCCACACTCATTTTTGGGGAAGCTCCTTAGGCTGTTAGAGTCTCRTGCTAAATAAAGACAAGGGGTGAAATCACAGCACAGAGGCACTGCTAGGTCTGTTGTAGCTGTTGCAGTTATGGTCTCATCTTCACTCCACATTATGTTATTTTAAATCTCTTGTTGTTTCCCGTAGGGAGACTGAAAAAACTGCAGAAGGTTGTCCTTGGAAGAGCAATGAAACATTTAGGCTGGTATTTTTACCTGCAGCAGGTAAGAGGGAGCAGGCACATCATACAGTACCCTCGGGTGCTCTCCCTCCTGTGGATTTGTGCATGAGCCTTCCGGAGCCCTTCCTGCACTCCTGTCAAAAATAACAGTCCCAGCTTTATTTTTGGATTTGGCAGCTTGAGGGATGAAAAATTAAAACAGAAAAAAAAAACCAACAACGTGCTTTTGATAACTTAGCAAAGGTTTCAATAATTGACTTAATATCATCTCCCACAGAAGGCAAATTTAGTTTCCCTGAACATTTAAGTGCACACATGCTTGTGTTTTCCTAGAGCATTTACTTTTCTTTGCAAAAAGATGGTTTTTAAAAAACAAATAGATTTGCTAGGGGCTTTATTTAGTTAGTTAGTTAGCTAGTTTACTTCTCTGGCTT